TATATATATTAAAATTAATTTATAATTTCTTTATATTTTTTTATAAATTCTATGAGATTTTTTTTGAGATTTAATCAAAGATTGATTAGTATTGTTATAATTTAATTAGAATTCGTCTAAGATTCTATTTAGAATTGTAACAATCTTCTTGTTGTAAGTTCCATTTTACCTTCCACAACTAGGTGCTTGGTACATTCTCAAGCAAAATACAACACTATGTCATAGCATTTACCATCTTTTTTTTCAACAAATGGTAACATATCACTTAAAATGCTAAGCAAGTGGTGTGTATAGGAGAGGATTACCTACTCATGGAAGAAAGCCTCATGAGATGTCATGCCATTAAGTGTTACAAGACGTAACTGATTTTGGGTCCAAGTCACCAAACTTGCAACAAATGCTTAGTACCACCAGGGGTCTAGCTTTGCATCATCAAGAAGCGTCCGCACCCCCTCAAAAACCGTGCGCATCATGCCTTCGGCCATCTCTACTATCTAGCTTGTGTAGTCCGGACTCACCATGTGTCGTATACCTTCTGCTCTGAAGTGTGAAATGAGTTACTTGTTTAAGAATTTTGTCTACTGATCCGTGCTGAAAGTTTTCATCTTTCTCCTGATTCTTCTTTGCACTTCTGCCTCTCAAGCTATGTGAACTTCCCGGAATGTGTCTTTCGTTTGTAGGAAGGCCAAACTCGTGTGGCCGAAATCCTCATCGATTCACACTGCCAACCATCTAGCCCTGCCGAAGCTTGCAGTGTCGGAGTATCCCAGATCCAACACGATGACGTTTGGAGTGTTCTTTGCGTACTTGTGATTGTTTGAAAAGGCTGTTGATGCGCATTTCCAATGATACATGACTCGCATGCAGGCATATTAAGCTTGTCTCCTTTTAAGTTAAGCCCAATCCCGGCACTAGTACACTCTGCTTTCCAGATCGTTTTTGCCGAGGCATGTGCCAATGCTCGGTGCCACTCTATGAGTGTTTGGCTAGTGGTGCTTGTGCTTGCCACAGTGGCAACTTCTTCGACTTTGCATGGCATAAGGTATGCCTTTCCGCCTAGATTTCTCCAGGATAGCGTGTCTCCGAGTGGGAGTATCCATTCCACCCCAATCTTGTCTAGGTTGAATCGGCACCCTTTCTTGCATGGGCTTGCTGCGGACAGGAGAATATTTTTTGCTCCCTGTACCCAGTGCACATCCTTGATGATTACCAAAATCCACTCTCCATGTGAATTTTGGACCCTCAAATGCATATCGCCAGGCCCTTGAGTTCAGTTGACAATGCTATCGTAGCCCTGCAATGGTATGGAGACGGATTCATTGAAGTTGATGATCTTGTTTCTATCTCCATGGATGTGCACCTCGGCGGCATAGTCAATTCAAAAATATTCCAGCTTTTGAGTAAGAGCTGAAATCTTGCTTGATTTGTGGGTAGTTGACGAGGTCGACGTTCGGGTCGCATGATGTGCATCTCGAACGGACGATACTACGGCGAAGCCAGCGATTGCAGCATTGCTCTTTGGCAAAGGGCATTCCGGATCGCCGCTTAGTGCCCCCTTTGCTCACATGCCCGGCAAGTGGACTTAGTTTTGTCAATCCTTGGCCTTTGATTTGCTGGCTTGGGGTACTGTTTCTTTGCAGGATGTCCCCCGAGTTTCTGCACAGACAAGGCGAAGATGGAGGAGTTGCTTCTCTCTCGCCTCCTGGTTTCTTCTTCAAGCTGTATGGTTCAAACTGTATGTTCCCTGATTTCTTCACATTTTTTGGATCCCAACGACTGCACCAATGGATCCCAGCTTTTTAGCAATGCTATTAGGACTAGGAATGCCATGCTCTTCTTGCTCATTTCTATTCATGCTTCAATGTGCTGGTCCTTGTAATCAAACAATTGCCGGACGAAGATTTCTATCAATTCCCCCTCTGTGTACCGGCAGTTGTAGAGTTTCTTCTGCAAGAATAGCTCCGTCGTAACTCTCGAGGGCTTGCGTACCTCGGCAAGTTTCTGCCACATCTCCCGCGTGGTGATGCATTTTTTACTGTGGTTGTGTTGCGAGGGCCGCACATTTAGTACAATCTGAATGGCTTTGAGCTGTTCCGTGTTCCACCTCAATTATTCTTCGATCTTGGTGCTGTCGAGACGCGGGCTAGATCCGTCCACATATTGGTACAAATTTCTCGAACTTAGAAAGTATTGCATTACGAAGCTCCACGTAATGTAGTTCTTCTCGTCCAGTCGGTGGATCTGCTGAATTCTTGGAGTCAAGGTGGTCACCATGATGGATGAGCTAGAGATAGAGATCTAGCGCTATTCTATGTATCGCTCTAATACCATGATGAGAACAGGTACTATCTGCTGACATAATGCCACACATTGAACACAACTTGGTGCTGAGTACCGCGCGAGTTAGTTGTGGATCGATAGGTTGTAAAGCTGGCTCGGAGTTCCACTCGGTGATACACTCGGTATGGGTTTAATAATTTAACAGCTTCATTGAAGTGAAGGTGGATAAGACAAGTGAATATGGGCATCATGCGTCTGAACGCATCCCATCCCCGAGTATGGACCCGGAATCAAGAGCCTCTCTCAAGCTTCGCAACCTGCAACACTTGCGTGCCGAATGAAAAAGACGACATTTCCTCATGACACGAGTTAAAACATCAACGATCCAGTACTTTGCACTAAAACCCACCTGATTGTCAGAGTCTGAGCAATATATATTGCACACCAGTACTCTTCGATGCAAAGAGCGACTCATGGTTATGATGAGACAGCCTGTTGCACAACTGAGATGTCAAGCCATAGTTCCCAACAATGAATGTCGTCTTTGGAACTGATCGGCCACAGCTGGCACTACACCGACTCAATTATCAGTTCCGTGCACCAGTCGGGAAATCCAATGTGAGTTGACGAATTTGGAAGCCGATGATGGTTACAAGCACGTAGATTGTACCGTTATCGGCATTCACAGCCACGAAAACTGAAGTGACATCTTGAACAGTCGGAACTTCACACTGATGAAATCTCATGATCTCTGATAAGTATGTGTACAATACATCGAAGTTAAACAGTCTTCTCCATTGGTCTTTCAGCTCGAGAGTCTTCCGAGGCATGATTTGCCATGAAGATGCACGTCACGCATCTCCACATATTACGAGGCCAGTTCATTCTTGGGTAATCCTAAGCTGGGTTTCATTACCTCGAACTTACATCGCAAATCGAGTATCTGCAGAGTGCCTTTCAAGTGTGCACGTTATGTCCGATACAAGATGTTCGGCTGGGGGTTGCACTGAAGACCTCGGGGACTTTCACGAGAAGAAATTTGATAGAGAGAGATGCCTCCACTTCACCAAGTCCCTACAGAAATGGTCATTGCATCACTCTCCACAATCTGCCGTAGTAAGCAGCTCTAAACTCCAGGCTCGTTTCATGCGCTTCGTGGCGTCTAGTCCATGTCATAGTGAAGCATTTGCTGATTCTGTGTTCTGTTAGCCAGTGCATCCCCACGAAGTTCGTCGAGGAGCATCCTGACATGTTACGGAAAGGCAACTTCATAATCCTGGAAGGACCGAGCAAAAATCAATGGAATGCAAGAGCATCGAACAGACCGATACTCTACGCCGGCTGGCTGGCATTCGCACACGATCATTGCCTTCGAGAAAAGGACCAGCTCTGCTTCTACCTCATAAAACCTTTATACTTCGTTGTGGAGGTCTTGAACAGCTATGGCAACGTGAGAGAGAGTGCTCTGATGGCAACAATCACAGGGAAGTACGCGCTTGCCCCTGTTCTCATAACTCCTCGCACGCCTAGACAGGAATGCAGAAAGCGGAAGAATTTAGAAATATGTGGACCTCCCACGCAAATCTCGCAAGATGTTCCCGGCCATCGTATGACCTTTGAAACTATTGCGGAGCGTTGTAAAGTAACTGCAAGAAGAGGATGCTACAACGGGTACGCACCGGGAGCAATAAAGAGATTCTCTAACAACACGAAGCAATGGGAGTGTCACGAAGAGAAAGATGGAAGACAAGTGGTTACTATTCTTGATAGTAGTGACGAGGAAAAAGATGAGAGGTATCGTCAATTCTCCTTTGGGAGCGCACAAATGCAAAGGTACAAACCGAGCAAAATTCAGAGATTGATCAAATACCCGAAGGACAAGGGTGCATCCGTACTTCACAAGTCGAAGCCACCGACGCAGCACGTTGACGAGGTGAATGGAGGAAAATTTGTCAGAAATGCGATGCCAGTTGAGGAAATTGTTGCTGGGAAGCGCCAAACACCAAAGTCGATTATGATCGACAAACCAGGGCACGAAAGCGAAAGGAAGAATTTGAACTTTTCAGGTGATTCACTGACATGCCAGGCTCCAGGTTCTAGAGTGCAGGACGTAATGATGAGAAAGTTGGAAGAGAAAATATACATTGGCGCCCTCGGACACTCAAACGACGCTGAACATAAAAACACTTTAAAAACCACTTGGGTCGCATGTGAACGTGAATTAGTGAAGATCGATGATGGGATGTCGAAGTATCATTCGATAGCACCCATGCTCTAATCAGCACAGCTAAGAATGTCACGATGGCTGCCGTCAACGATACAGTCGCTCAAGATAACGCTAAAGAAGTAAAAAAAAACTTCTTGCGAAGAACTGCTTAGCATTGCCATCATGCCTGTAATCAACACTATTAAAGGTAGTCAGAAAGACAACGTGCATTCATTCGAGCAAGATTGGATCAGCCGTGAACATGCAGAAAAGCATGACATTTGTGTGGGAGCCGATGGGCTACGTCTCAGCACATGGAAAGAATCGGAACACGAAGGGCGCTGCATTTTACGGCATCCGTCGGCTTCCGACGCATACAAGAAATTTTGACTCTGATATCAAGATGGACCCTGGCTTTAGCCATGGTGCTACTGAAAACACACGAGGGGACAAAAGGGAGCTGCAAAAAGAAATGCAAATAACCAATCGTCTGGCTCCAAGGCTACAAAGTGAAGACATGCCCACAGAAATGGACTCAGAGACCGTAACGCACGTCACCGAATCGCCGTCTCAATTGCAACTCGAAAGTCGGGACAAAACAGATTCCATCAAGATGCTGAGTTCGCAGGAATTCAAGCAATTCACCAACATTGTCAATGCAGTTAGCTGTCGCATGATTTTTTCTACTTTTCGTGAGAAAGACAGCACCAATCTCAACCAAGCTAGTCTTCCAAGATTCTGCGCCACTGGTCTCCCCACTCTAAAAACTACATCAGTTATCGAGACCAACTCTACCACCTTGTGCGCGTTGAAGTCCAGGCGTGGCCTAGTTGCCAAAATCGACCGAGAGAGAACCCTCCGGGCAGCTGAAGCCTGGACCATGAAGCTCCGCATCCCTCACTTCGTAGTTGTCATGAAGGGCTACCACAGCTGTACAGACTTCAACATGGTAAAAGCATCTGAATTAGAAGGAATGTTACTATGACAGTAAAAATCGTGAGCACAGATCGAATCACCCTTGTGCTCATGGTATGCGTTGATTGGCACTGGTGTTGCAGGACATTCCTGCCGAATTTGCAAAGTCGAAGTTACCTGCAACGGAGGCTAAAATGACGTTGATGTGCGACGAGGTGCCGACAACTTGCAAGACTATCTGGGAGGGAACCAAACCCATGAACCCTAAGATTAGCGCAACAGGGTGGATGGATTTCTCCCGCAGCCATTTCCTGGAGGAAGGAGATGTGTGTATGTTTGAGCTTTTCAACAATATCACCGTTCGCATCGGCGTGCATATCTTCCGCGTCGTGGAGTTGAGGAGGTCGCAGCGGGGCGTTGACTGGACTCAGCATTACAAAGTTGTGGAGGCCAATCTCCCTCATCATCCGTCGAATTGAATCCACAAAACTCTCCAAATTGATCATCCATCATTCTCAACTCGCCATCTGACGAACGAACGCAATGAGACACCCGAAATGCGCAATACTTTATTTGAATTCGACAAACAAGCTTCAGAATGCAGACATTGACATCTTCTTGTGGTCTCAATACATTCCACTCCAATGGTCAAAATCCCTGCTTAGCACTCTCACACTTTCTCGTAAAACCTCCTCACACCTCCTTAACCTCGATCTCTTCTTATTCGCATCGTTCCTGATGCACCTTCTATTGTCAAAACTCAAAAAACCTCCGAGTATCGAAAATGCAAACCTCTGCATTCCACTGAAACACCAACTCATAGCCTCTTTACACTTCACAAACGACGTAAAAAATGGCCATAAACTCTGCGAAACTCGCAAATCAACGTCTTAAAACAAGTCGTTCTTCATCAGCGGGTTTTAGAATTCACTCGAGATGCTCCGATGGGCAAATGTCAGAGTTGGCTTGCGACAAATTCCAGGGCCCCACATCGCACACGGAAAGGAACAAGTCAGCGAGGAATTAGGGTATCGAAAAACAAACCCTAGTTCTTGGGCAATGGGGTTATGCCAGTGACAAATGGAGGGCCAATCTTATTCAGAGGGAATAATAGACAATAATGTCAAGATGCTTTTTTAAGATGATATGATATGAAATCTTATCATAGCTTTTATTGATTTTATCAATTGGACATTAAAGGTGTGGTTTGGAAAAGTATGGCAATGAGTGATACTTGAGGGATAAGAAATGAACTCTCAATTGAAGTGGGGTACTATTTCTAATTCTACATATTCTATGTAGAAATATTCTCGTTATTTAATGTTATATTATTTTAATTTTATATCATCTATAAAATAATTCTACATATTATTCTCGTTATTTAATGTTATATCATCTATAAAATAATATAACATTAAATAACGAGAATATTTCTAATTCTATATATTCGAAATTAGTAACAAGAACTTCAAGTACAATTATTGTTTGCAACGTGTATGGTATGTACATTATTATCTATAGAATTTATATTATAATTTTCTTTTGAATATGTAACTTTGTTAAAGGCACACAGGTTTACCATTGGATCAATTTGACATCATACAATTATAAAGAAACAATTGTTTTAAATGTTAATCTACAGAAAATTAAAATAAAATCATTAAATTCAATAAAAAAAAAAATGTTGAGATTGTGTAATGTAATATATTCTAATATTTCATTGAAAATACAAATAGTGAATTTTATATTGAGATTGTAACATATATGTGACATATCTAAAAATGGAAATGATATGACGATGATAATAATAAAAAAGTAAAGATCTCAGTTAATGTTGCAATAGATTTATTTATTTTTCTATTTATTATTTTCAATATACCAAATTAAAAGGTTCAACAGCATTACTTTTAAAAATTGTTGGTTCTTTACTATCTACAATAATTGAAGTAATATTACTATTTATATCAAGAGCATATAAGCTTTACAAATTAAAACACTCAAAACATCTTCATTCCAATTCATAAGTGAATTTAGAGTGACTTCTTGAAGAGTGTATATATGTTTTGTTCCAAAATCCATTTTGACAAGTTTTCTTGGAAATTACTATTTTACTTTCAAAAAAGTTTACAATTCATTTAAAAAATATGTGACCTCTATGTCAATCAAACACAACACCAAATCTAAATCGATGGAAGTTTATAAATATTGAGGTTAAAAACTTGGTTTAAGGTCACTTTTTGTAGTAAAAAATCTACCTTTTCCCATTTGACTTACACTCAAAGCTTTTACAATTGATCGCTTTATTGAATTTAGGTTTACAATGAAGTGCTTAGAACTTTTTATCTCCTTAAAACTATTTACTTCTGAGAATATTCCTTAAATACTTTTAAAAAGAAAGATGGATTTGAATTCTGTAGGACTTCATAACTTTTTTTACTCTTAAGTTAATTTTTTTGGAACATGCTTTCATGTTTAAACAATATTTTTATTGCATATATCATTATTTAATGTTATATTATTTTATAGATGATATGTAAAAATGAGGATAGTATTTTTTATTTTATTTTATTTTTTTGCTTGTAAGGTACTACATACATCAAATAAAACTTCTTACAAATTTATTAAATTAAAAACTCATAAATAAGACTTTTATAATCTATTTCAGAAATTTTATTAAGAAAATACACATATATATAGTAACTTATTTATTTTGAAGCCATGTTTATTTGTAACTAAATATTTATAAATTTATTAAAAATCCAGTTTTTTATTTGTTTGAATACATGTGTATTTTAAATACTCTATTTATTTGTAGTACAAAAATGAATGGGACATCTTTGATTATATCTTACAATATTATTTGCAAGAGTTTTAAAATTCTAAGTGTACTCTCAAGTTGATTCTACAACACTATAGGATGTTAAAGCTTACATCCAAATGATAAATTTTTTTTATTGATAAAATACTACAATATTAACTATTTTTATTTTTATGAGTCATTTTAGAATAAAAATAAAAAGAAAAAGAAAAACTGTAAATGTATAAAAATTTCTCGCTCTCTCTCTCTCTCTACATATATATATATATATATATATATATATAACAAAAGAAAAATAGATCTACTTTCAGGCTCTCAATTTTTTTTCTCAATAATTTTTTTTTAGCAACAAACTTTCCATGACATAACTAAACAACAATTACATTTTCGAAATGCAAAAACGAAATCCCCACTAACGTAAATCAATACGTCCGTTCGTCCGTCGGTCCGTCCGCCACCCCATCAGTCAGTGAGGCCACCGTGCGGGCTCGTAAAGCAGCATTTACAGTGTCAGTGGAATATCGCAGACTTCGAGAAAGCTTCGCAAGGTTGGTGATGGATCCCATGGAGTGCAAGGAGAGTGAGATTGGTAGTGGGCATTACTGCTGATGCTGCTGGTACTGGTGCTGCACTATCTGCTGCAAACTCTGAGCTCCCTCGTGCAACGCGAGTCCATTTCAGCACGGCCTGCAGTCTCTTCCGCATCGACTTTGGGGCTGAAAAATTGACTTGACTGGGACGAGAAGATTCAATGTGCCTGGAATCATATCATATAGCCTGCTCGTGTGATAGTCACTGCCATGACTAGTCTCGCCACGGTCGGAAATCTCATGTGCTCATCCAATCCCCCACCAAGCTTTTGCAGCTTTCCGTTCTTCCGTGCTTCCTCTTCATTCCCTTCTTGCGGCGTAGCTGTAAATCATGGTGGCATACTGGTAGTCGGCGCTGCAGCGGTGACACGCCAAAGCAAGAGAATCACTGAATATGGAATGTGTTACTGTCCATCTTCACTACAAGAAAACCAACTTTTCCCTACTTCTTGTTCAAAGCTTTGACCTAATGCAATGCCGCTGATGTTGTTGAATATCGAAGCGGGTAGAAACGAAGGGTAACTTTTCCAGATTTCAAGGATGGAAACCTTACCTTGAGTAATTGTAATGACTAGCTTCTCAGAAAAGAAGAGCTACAATGTCACAGACATAGTTACTCATGGAGCTTCTAAAAAACTCATCTTAGAGGTGCGAATACCAAGTTCTGATGACTGAGTTTGTCTGTTTGTATTTATTATTTTTGGAGTTAGCGAAAGAAATACACTGGTTTCGAGGTTTTGTGTTTGAGATGCCGGTTTTGAGTGGGTTCGGATGACCCTCGAGTCCCTCATGAAAGGGTAACACCACATTCTGCAAGTGAAAAAGCTCCCCCCAATAATGAGCAAACAGACCGCCGTTTAAGGACCTCACAGAGCTCCGATTTCCAACACAATGACTTTCCATGCTCGGGCAGCGCAAATGGCTGAGAAAATCCTTGGAATTGGAGCAGGGGCAGAGGGAAAATTTGACCTGCCCACCTACCCACCCACCCACCCTCCCAACGCCCGCCAACCCAGGCTGCCCGGGTTGACTTGGGGAAACTGTAGCCCAGTCTATGCCGAATCGATCTGAGAAACTGGAGTACTGTACCGTCACCGTCTCCGTTTCCAGGACTTGTGTACAGTAGTTCACACATGGAGCAGACGATCTGCGAGTCAAACCCGACCCGCTTTCAACTCGCGGATGTCAAAGTCTCCACCCTGTCAAGTTACGTTGCGTTGGTTTATTTACACGCGGACGGCGTGGCTCAGTTCGGCTGCAGTTCGACTGTGTGGCTTCGTCGTCCAAGCTTTCGGCGGGTCGACTCTACTGGTCCGTTAAAGCTCAGCTCATCTGTCGAGCGCAAGCGCTAGAAATTCGGCGCTCTGTGGGAAGATGCTCCCCGCCAGAACCTTGCTGAGTGCAATGGTTTGTAGCGAAGCCGAGTCACTGGTATGATTGGGGTTGAGCCAGGGTCATCATACACTGCAACCTGAACAGCCAGGGTCCATGTTGAGGTAGGATTTTGTTGATCGTTGACTGAGGCTGTGGGATGGTAGTGTGCTCGGTTCATTCGTTGTGTTGAGAGAGTGGACCATTGAGTGGGGCGCAAGGTTGGTGGAAGGGGGATTGGCGGTGTCAACTTCTTGCCCTGGAAACTTCCCGCTGGAGTTTTTGCTTTTATTTTGGGTCTGGATGCAGCGTAGCTCTGGGTTCAAACCTTGCAGTGTTCCACTGCGGTTCTTAGAGGTTGAGCCGGAAGAATTGAGACCAGCTGGTGGTGATTGCGAAGAAGTCGTTCCGATGGAGGCAACGTGTGCGTCTACTTTGTGGTTTGTTCGGCGAGACCACTAAAGCAATGTGCTAGGGGTTGGTTTTTGCTGTTCTCGCATTGCTACGTGCCTTTGGAATCCCGAATGTCGCCGTTTTCCGTCTCAGTTCTTGGTCCTTTCAAGTCTTTTCCGAATTGGTGGTCCTGAGGAGGAGAATCGAGTTTCTGGTTCACTACTTAGGAAAGGTCTGCGGATCTCTGACGAGTTGATGTGCGCTGGTGACAATCCTCCCTTCGACACTGTAGAATTTCCTCATCATGATGGGTTGTTTTTCAACCTCGAAGTCTGAAAAACGCTCGTCCAGTTTACCAGAGTCCTCACAGCCGAGGACGAGCGTTCCGTCGAAAAGTACTCGCTACGGCCTGCTTTCGAATAAACCCGTGGAGCTTCCTGACCCTAGAAGCCTTAACCTCCAACCTATTCCCTCTGAGAGTGCCAAGAATGCCAAACCTGTGGCGGCCGCAACCTGCCTGGATGACGATGAGGTCGCAGCCCTGGCCGATCACTCCATGACCAGAGGAATGAACCGCACAGGGAGAAGGGCGGCATTTTCAGGTCCACTCGTGGGGGCTTCGGTGTACTACGCGTCGGACGTCGAGTCGCGTGCAATGGCAGGGAAGTCGTCTCGTGTTCTAGTCAATTACATGTCCAGCGACGAAACAAATAAACCTTCTGGTCGAAGGACGCTCAGGAGAGCAACAAGCTTCGGTGGTCGGCCGCAGCCTCTGCCCCTTCCGGCAATGGATGAGGACATGCCTGAGGATCCCAAGCAGATAAAGTATTCACCGTTGCCAACCCCCGAAGACGCAACCCCTCGTGTGTCCTCCCGCTCCATGTCGAGCGTGGGCTTGTTTGCCCCTTCAAGCCGAACCAGATCGTTCAAGCTGGAAGATGGGCCTGGCTCCCGGAGCACGCGGAAAGGAAGAGTGGCACCCATGGGCGGATTACCTCTTCCACCTCCTTCTGTTGCTAGCAAGTTGTTGCCAGGTTTGCCTACATTTGAGTTCAGCGACCTGATGATCGCCACAGATAACTTCTCGACCAGCCATTGTCTTCAGAAAGGTGCATTTGGTGCTGTGTACAGCGTTAGACTCAACGATTCCACTACCGGGAACAATGAGGAAGTCGGAATGGCAGTACTTCGACTACCTGAAAGTTTCGTGCAGGTATGTAATGTCATTTCTCACTTCGTGATTTTACGTCTCATTTCTATTTTTAATCGAACGTGTGATCTCCGTAGCCACGTTCTGTGACGTTTATGTGGCAGGAATTGAGACATGTCTGCTGGCTGTCAATGCACCTCTAAGGATTCCTTTGTGTACGATTTATTTCAGGGCCCCGTGGAATGGAAGGCTCAGATTCAGCTGCTCTTGCAGCTATCAAACCCCAATGTATGTGCCCTCAAGGGATACTGCAAACACGATGAAGAGTCCAGCGTGAGCATTCGCGAAAGACTGCAAGAACGACTTCTGGTATTCGAGCAACCCCCCAATGGCAGCTTGTACGACCACTTGTTCGGAAGTCGATGCACGACTTACTTGGACTGGGACGCGAGGATCAACATCGCACTTGGTGCAGCTCTTGGGCTGTTGTACATACATGATCGTGCTCCTCTGCAGATTTTGTACAAAGAATTCAAAGCATCTAATGTTTTGCTGGATCAGAATTACACGCCGAAGTTGGCTGGGTATGGCCTGTCTGTCGCTGCTGCACCTATCAGCAAAAATTATTCTTTCACCATGGTAAGAAGCTTAGGGTTCGGCTCTTTCCTAGCTTGATTCCCTTCGTGCCAACTGAAATATCCGTGTGACAGATTTTATCCATGTGTCAATCCAACTCGCTATTTACTCCGTCTTTCTCCATGTCTGGTTTATTCAGAGCATGATGCTAAGCCAAACGCACGCAAGGAACAACGTATGGAGCTTTGGGATACTCCTCCTTGAGCTTCTCACCGGCAAGAATAGCCAAGATGCTGTGTACTTCGGCGATGACAAAAACTTTTTGCAGTGGGGAAGGAAGTTCATCAAGGAAGAATCTAAACTGTCTCACATCATTGACCCGCGCATGAAAGGAGTGTACCCCATTAAGGGTGTTGTGGAGGTGGTTAATTTGCTGCTTCAATGTGCAAATAAGAAGGATGTGCTGCGGCCAAGTATGTCAGAGGTCTCTGGAACACTGAAGGTTATCAAAGCAAAGTACCGCAGCAACTCAAAGGTTCCTTCCAGTGGGATTCTCTCGCCACAGATGCCCGAAAGGCGATCTCGAGACTCTCCCATTTTCACAGACATGCAAACCTCGTCGGACGCTTCCTCCTCTGAAAACGAGGATACGTCAGTATCCAAAATCTCCCCTCATGCCTTCCGCGGTGCGCGCAGCAACCTTTTCTAGGGCTTAACTCTCAAAATTCTTGTGAAGATGTGATGCGGCCGAAGTGTCCAGTTGGTCGTCTCTGTGTAACAATTCATGTACAATTTAAGTAGGTTTTACCCAATTTAAGAGCCTGATTGAAACTACGATGGTGAGTCTCTAAATCTGATAATTCTTTTGTAGTAGATTACGGGTAGTTAACATTCGGGCTGCGACTTGCAACTGTTATGCATGCTCCCTGGCAGCAGCCAAATCTCTCATCCTTCGATATTGCAAATGCACGAATAGATGTTCATATTTGACAGTTTTTTAAGCATCCAGAATCTGTATAAACGTAGGTTGGAAGGGAATTGATACACAACTGTATATTGCCAATCGCGAAAATGACACAGTTGTCAAGAACTTATTATAACGGTGGCAACCCGTAATAGCAGCTGTACGCACATTCCCCAAGCATGTGTAGAAATCTTGCCTCATTTTCTCTCAATCTTGCCATCAATCTTTCCAAATCTAACTACTACCAACCTGTCGGTGAGAAACATTCATGAATCCTCCAAGGAAGGGAATGCTAGCTGTGCAGACATTCATAACGTATACGGCAACTGAATGTCCATCACTTGTAGCACACTCGTCGCAACATGGGAGTGGTTTCCAACACGACATCTACGACTTCTAAAAACATGTTACATTAAAACAAATCCCAGTGCATCTGCAAAGTTATCACAAATTGATGTCACTCTAGAAGCTACTTTATTAGAACCGAACTCCAGCAGTGGGATGCACTCCGATTACATTACTACAGATTCACACAAGATCTCCTCACTTCTGGTCAAGGGCCCGCCTCCATCAAGGGTGAGAGGCAATGGCAGTCAACCAGGTAACCTACAGAAAAGTTAAGTTTACATGCGAAATGCTCATCTCAAATTATATTCTTTCTCTTACTACTACGTAACCACAATTCAAGCAGCTGACTCGAGCTCAACATTATTATTGGGGACGCCGACATCTTCAGTTCTCAGTTGTGCAGAGACATCGTCAATAGCAGCGTTTAACTGCGCTATCTTCTCGTTCAGGTTCTGCCGCGTTTTCTGGAGATAACAAATTTAAGTATGAATTATCAAACAAGAATTTCAGAGTTGAGGACACAAGGCAGTAAGAAGTTAATAAAAACTTTTTTTTTTTGGCGTTTCTCGACGCGAGCACTTCGTCATCTTCAAAACAAAAACCCAACCATGTCGAAAATGCCGCACCCTCTTACATCAGGATTACAAAGACTCATACTACTTATTCATTGTTACCCAAACAATTCAGACTCCGTCACTAGAAAAAAACGAAAAGAAAAGAAGAAAAGAAAAAGCAGTCAACGGGAGGCAATTCTGTATGGTATACAATAAGCTCATGCTAAAAATACGAGACCAATACGACCAGGCGATAGAGACTGAATCTCGGGATGCCTTGATGGATCACTAAAACTAAATCACCAATCACGTTTAGAAATTTTAGTCGGGTCTATCAGAAAACTGACATAACACGTCACCAAGGTTTTATTGAGGGGGGAAGAAGGTAAATCTAAACCCACCTCAAGGCTTTCATCATCTTCCAAATAACGTGCGGGCCTCTTGGTAGCTGCTCCATCTTCTTTTACGCTGGTCCCCTCTTCCAGGGTCTTGGAGATCTGGCGTTCAGGCATGACGTTTATGTAGTGCCAGGCTGGCCTCTAACTCTGACGAAAGAGTTAACCTACCGATCTTGCTAAGCAAACCACCTCTTGACAGAATTATCGCTAAAGATTGTTCCAGATTGAGTAAACAAATAAAAAGCTACTGCCTGTGTGCCATTGATGAGCCAAATTCACAATCTAAGAAGTATAATTGCTGTTTACTCAGTCTCAACAAGACAAATTGTAGCACCTACCTGAGGTGCAAAAATGTAACCCAAAGCACCAAAGACAGCTCCGCCAATAAGAAATCCGGCCAGAAAGTCACCTGCACCGCCTCCTCGCCTGTCACTATATCATCGTCAAGAATATTCAGTTGACAACTACGCCTTGCTTGCACGAAAATATCCACACTTGCTTATATTTGAAGTATCCAAAATTGTGCGCAAGGACCAATCTCTAAGTCTTATGAATTCATGAATTACAAATACCTGTACTCAGCAGTCACCAAAGGTCGGCGACTGCATACATATGATGGCCATGTCTGTGCCTGTGATATCTTTAACGTCCTTTGAAGAGACTTTGAGGCAGCAACACCTGCAAACCACCCAAAAGCTCGTCAGCGTTCAGATAGATTTCAGTGATAGCAACTGGTCGTAATCAGTTCTCTGCCGAATAGAAATTTAGGGTTCTAAACTTGAGGTCCCAGGAGCACAAACTTACACCACATTTTTCAAAAAATCCGTATCACTTACAGCAGATTGAAGAGTATCCAAGAACGCTCTCAAAAATCTAGTGAAGACTTTGAATCTTCACATGAAACATAATCTCTTGACAGCTATTATGGAAGGCGTAAATAGAACTTCTGAATGCAAAGCACAGAACCAAAGGCCACCCCAGTTCGACCGCACAACCAATCAAAGTAAACACTCTAGACCCGGGAATCGGAAGTCGTTCATCGGAATCAGGTGCTTCACAGATTGCAGTGCGAGCTTGTCAATGAGTAACCAAAACAACACTTTCAAATAAGTCTTCAAATCTAAACCCCGAATTTCGATATCTGAGACAAGGTGTGGGATTGAAAAGCAACGCTCACTGTCAACATTCGCCGTTAAGGTTTGGCCTAAAATCTCGAAATTACCATTCAAGTCGGGGACACCCACTCCACAAGGGCGATCCGCTCTCACGCGGAGGCTTCAGAGGGTGCAAAAACCAAATCTCCAGGAAAGGAATCTTAAAAGAAAAGAAAAAAACAGAAAAGAAGAAACGATTCACACAATGAGCCCAACTTCAATGTGACCACGCACTACGAGTTCCTGACAGAGTGCAATTCTTCAAAAACCATCACCACGATTCGCCACCCACACAAAACACCTCACGGTTCATATCGACGCTCAGGCACACATATCGGCCATCGAAATGCGAACGTTTGTCACATTCCGACGAAGCCCAGCGCATAAGATTTGCAAAACGCAATGTATGTAAGCCCTAAACCCAAGAACGAGAAAAATCCAGTTGGAAGAAGGAGACGAAACGTACCCGAAGCAAGAGCAGGCGCTCTCGGAACACCGGAGCAGCACAGCGCTGGAGCTGTAGCGATTGCCATCAGGCTAGAATCCAAACCACTGCGAGCCCTCCGCAATCGAAGAGAGGATGAGCGAGGCAGACAAAACAAGAGGGGAACTCCACAGTGAAACAAAAATCCTATGCGCGGCGAGAGTCGTCGTGGTCGTGGTTTCCGAGGTGGGCTTCGTCGAGAGATACAATCCTTCCTTTCACCCCAATTCCTACGGATTCACTCCACAAAGCATGCGAATATTCCGTTCCCCGAAAGCCCCACTAAATTCCTCCGATGCTCGTCTGTTCATTTCCACAGATTGCACACAATGGCGCACTCCATGAGCTCCACAACCGATTTCGTCGTCGACGCATCCATATTCCGGTGCTGCCTCTCGCCACGGATGACTCACGCCGCGCCGCGCCGTACCGCGAACAGTCGTGACGTGACGTGACGCGACGCGACGACCGCTTTGCATTATTGTTGCCGAAATGCAATTTCTAGGTCCAAATTGAAGAAGAATACCTTTAGTCTTTGGTGTTTCTTGCTTACAGCTAAAATTAATATCTTTCTTCTTATATCTTTTTTTTATATTTATGTATATATTTAAATCTATTGTGAGTGTTTGACTTTTAACATTTACAAGCTTGCAAGAAAATGGTAATAACAATCATTAAATACATATGGATTGGTGTTTGCATTATTTTTTTATAGAATTCAAGTAAAGTCTTTTACCTAATATTCTATAGAGCATCTTAACTATTGTAGGACATTTGATGCAAGAACAAGATTAATCAATAAGAATTGTAATCTTACTTTACTTAAGATTGTGGAGTATTTTGAAAGAGTTTCTAATGTAAGATATTTTTGTGATTGATATACATCCTCATAAATGGTAAGCAGATTATATAATAGAATATAGCTAGTTTAAGATCGTTGATTAAAATTTTCAACATCAAGCTTCAAACTTTCAAACACCATAGAGCAGATGTCTCACTGTAAAATGAACGTTTGTTTTGATGGAACTGTTTGTTAAAAGAACAATTTTTTGTACAGAATTTCAAACATCTAAATTAGAAGCATAAACAGTTAGTAATAAACAAGGTTTAATTTTTTATATATTGCAGTAAAAAAGAATGTATGTGTGTGCATATATATACATAGTATGAATTTGTATTGTTAAAACAAATTGATAAACATTGATTAATTTTTATACAATTTTGAGTACAATGACCAAAATGTTAAATTATTACAGAAATGATTCTAAAACTACTGTTGAATCTTGATGCCAAAAAACTATTCTTTTAAATGAATTGCCATTATTATCTAAGAAAAAAAAATTGGTTTCAACAAACTTAGTAGAAGTGCTATTTGGTGGTAGAAAATAATCTTACTTTATTTTAAACCAAAACATCAATATCAAAATGTAGACATGCTAGGATTTAAAACACATACATACATATATATATATATATATATATTACTTCCACTAACAAAGTTTATATTAGTAGAAAAACTATATAAAGGTGTTAGCTAAAAATATATTTACTAATCATAGTCATATGCTTCCAACTACAACTTAATATTTTTTTTATCTATTAATAAAAAATTACTATATTTTATTTACAGAATATATTTTTAATATTTAACCAAAGATTTATAATAACTAATAAAATATTTAATATGTGAAAAAAATATATTTTAAAAATTTTGTGTTACTCTTCTTTCACTTACATCTCTTAGAATGGAAGTGAAAGAAGAGTAAGGAAAGTTTATTTATTTATTTATTTATTTATTTATTTTATATTTATCTAAGTATCAAATACTGTTTTAGGATTTATTAATAATTTAATAAAGGATATTAATTATTAAAAATATATTTAAGAATAAAATTATAAATAAAATTCTAAAAACCTAAATTCTTAGATAAATTATCTAATTATTATTTTTATTTTATTATAAAACATGTAAACAATACTTCAAAATTTATTCTATATCATACATTAATAAAATTTTATGTAATAGAAAATAGAATAAGAATATTTAGAAAAAAATCACTTAGAAATCTGAAATAAATTATTTATTTTAATTATCATGATAACTATAGACATAAAAAAATGAAATAAAAAAAATTAATAAAAGGAAATTTTTATCTATTAAACTTATTGATCATGTTAATTATTAAACTATAAACAATATTCTTTGATATTGTATAAGAACTTCGATAATGATTCAAATGCTATTAAATTTAATATCTAATTGAAGAAATGTTTTTCTTCAATTGGACTATTTAAAAATTTATAAAATAATAATATGTATTTATTTTTGTATAAAGAGAAAAAAATAACAATTAAAGCATTTTCGAAAAAAAAATCAAAAAATCAAAATATGCTAAAAAATATATACTAAATAATCCATTTAGTATACAATAATAATAATAATAATAATAATAATAATAATTAAAATAAGCTTGTGGAGATATTTGATAATCTAAAAATTTAAATAGAACTAAAAAAAAGACTTTAATTCTTCAAAATAGTAAAATATACCAAATAATAAATTACATTTAATTATATTTAAATTTTATAAACATTAGTTGGTATCTATTATAAATAACTATAACTATTAAAAATAATATCTAAATATAAAAATAAATATAAAAGATGTAAAATATAAGGCCAATTTTTAATTTTATTCTACCAAGATATAAAAAATATAAATTTTTTATATGTATTCATTTTATTACTCCATAAAATTATATAAACTTATTAATCAAATATTATATTGACCATAAAAATGTTCTATTAACAAAATCATCCTAGTTAGAAATACTCAAAATTGAGAGAGGATAGGCACAAGAAATATTCATTTTTCTTAACTAAAAATTTAGAACTCTTATTATAGAGCCTTTAATTTAAACTTTAATATTATGAATATAAATTTATTTGTGGTTTGAAAAGTCAAAGTTTATCCAAACTCTACTTTGACTAGGATCCAAATTCATTAATTAATTCCAAAATCCTTTAGATAGTGTTACTTTTTTTCAAAGCTAATCTACAATTTCATATAATGTTGTTGGCTTTTGTCCAAATAAATAAGTTGAGGATAGAACTTATATTATACAAAATTATGCACCAACCATAATTACAAGTAAGAGAATATAAACTAGTATAAATCCATGTTGTTGGGCATAAAGAATACTTTAATACAAAATAAGACAACATATGTAAAATGACAACATACATTTTAGGCCAATAAAAAGACATATTATTTTTTATTTATTTTGACTTGGCCAATAAAAAGACTTATTTGTCTTAGTTAATAAAAAGTTTTTTTTTTTTTTTTTTTTTTTTTTTTTAAACCCCTTTGTCTTTTAACTAAGATATTTTAGAGTATTATATTATAAAAAAATAATTTTGTTATATATATATATATATATATATATATATATTAAAAATAATTGATCCAATTCAATATCAGATATTGGAATCATAATAAAAATTTCTAATTCAAAAGCACATTATAATGAAAAAAGAATATATGTAAAATTTTAGAAAAATAAAATACCTTATTGGATAGAAAAAAATAAGCTAATTTAAGAAAAATAATATTATACTTGGAAATCATATTAATATTAATATTATTATTATATATGCTAGTAAAAAAATTGACATTTATTTGTATAATATATATATTTTTTAAATTCAAAAACTCTCTGTTATTCATAAGAAATTAAAAATTCAAGGGATTCAAAGAACTCATTAAATTATATAATGCATATTATGTATTTATATATTTTTTAATCAATGGTACCATTAACATTTAAATTTTATAGTTCTTATGTATTTGAATTAATCTATAATTATTTTTTATAAAAGAATTGTAAATTTTAACTTAAAGTTAAAAACAAAATTATGTAATTATTTTGATTATGAATAAGTTTACAACAACTGTTTTTAAAAAAATTGAAAAATTATATTATCTTTATGTAAGAATATTGATTGAATTTATTATTAATTATTTATATATTTTATTATATAATTTCTTATTTTTGGAATAAAATTTAAGATTTATATATTTATTTATTTCAATCAAAATATTAATTTAAAAAAAAAAATTCACCAAATTTTTGCATTAAAAAATTTGCATCTTAATTTTTTAAATTTTAATGCTTAATAGCACAAATTTTATTATATTTTGATAAAATATGTAGATATTTGTATGTATATTTATACTAGTAGAACCCCATATCATTGGCTATAAAAAAGGTATAAAAGTTTAATATGTGGTTGCTAAATCAAAAATTGACTATTCCAAAAAAAATATTGATTAAAATATATATATATATATATAAAGAATTATTTATGTTTTTTTATTCTAATTGAGAAATATGATTTTAAAATATTATTAAAATTAAATAGCTAAATTTAAAACTTTTAAATAAATTACATTCACAATAGTATTTTTGTCTTTATTATTTTCAAGATATAATATCTCAATCATATTTGGAGAAGTGTATTGTAAAAAGATAACATATTAATGTCCATGAGCAAATATTGAGATTCTAAGATCTATTCCTAAATTCTTTAATAATTATCTTAAGTATCTATTTTTGTACCTTGGAATTGGATTTTGATCTTGATTTATAGTTTATTTTTTTTGGATATGAAAACTTGATTTATTAAGGTAATGTTTGCTAAAAACTACTCTAAATTCTTTCATAAAGATGACCATATTAATAATTTTTCTTATCTACTTTAAATGTCTTATTTATGGCCCTATAAAATAAATAGAAGTCATTTTTACAAGAAGGAAAAATTAGTACTTATTAATTTTTATTACCTCTCCATATGTTTTTTTATATTTTTAAGATAATTTTCTATAATATTTTTATTTAATCTCCTCTATAATATAATATTTTTTCTTTCACCTAATGGCAATGTTACAATACAAAAATAACATTAATAGAAAATTTATAAGTAATTTATTTGATTCTTGAAGAATTTTATTAAGAAAAAATAGTCCATAATCTAATATCTTTTTTTTTCTTAGCATCTCATTTTTATAATTTTAAATCAATTAGTAATCCACATCATCACAAAAATATTTTTTAAACTTTTTTCCTACAAGTATTAATTCCACTCTTTATTATTTTATAAAAATTCTATTTTTAAGCATATATTCTTAAAATTTGGTTGTATTTTTCTATTTATAGTATATAAATCTTCATATGAACATGGTCTTTATACCATTGTTAGAAAAAATCAAATATAAAATCTTTCTTGCATAATAAGATTAGCAAAATATAACTTTTTAATTACAAAT